GCTGCAGCTCCCGCAATAGCGAGGAAGCCGCTCGCCGCTGTGCCTTGACAATAGACAAGACAATGTTTCATTCTTCTTTTGCCGCTGCCCACCAATTGTTGCTCCTTTCCATTGTTCCTGGGCTGTTGGCCTGTGCGCAGGCCGGTTTGTTTGCGATGCCTTGCACGAGCTGCAGAATAGGGACCTCCTTGGCAGCCGTCCGAGCAGAGAGTTCCTGGGCGGCTCCAAAAACAAAAAGCAGAGCTTTGTGGAAGTGTTGCTTGTGAGGCGAACCCTGGTCTTGTATCTCTGCAACTTGGCGCCAGAGTCCGAGCGCGACTTGCTGCTGGACAAGCTCCTTCTGACCAGCAGCGGCCTGCGTGAAGAGAACGACTTGGTTCTTGCAACGCCAGAGACCGTTCGCCTAGTGGAGTTGGTGAAGCGGGTCCACCATGGCGGGTTTGATGGGACTGTTCGCACTTTCTTGGCCGACTATCCTGGAGGTAGCGCCGAGGAGTTGGTCAAGCTGTCTTCCATCAAGGACCCGCTTGATGATTGGCGCAAAGCATTGCAGAACAAGGAAGGGCCAGCTTCAACTGAGGCTGTTGTTGGAGAGCCGGTTGAGTTGGGCCTCACACAGGCTGTGCTTGAGAAGAAGGAGGACACGCCTGAGCCTGCAGTTGCAGTGGACGAGCTTGCTTCGCTCACACACGAGTGGCGGGGGACAATCAGGAGCATGTGGCAGATGCAGAACATTCAGTTGAAGTTGAGGCCGACAGGGTCATGGAAAGTGCTTCAGGAAGCCCTCGAGGGCACAGCGGCCTTTAAGTTCAAGCCGACGGTGCTGAGTGGAGACACCCGGCGAGCAGCTGCTCCAAGTCACCTTCTTTTGTTCTTGAACTTCAACCAGGCAGCTGGTGTAGATGTGGCTTTGGAAGTGCAGACGCTCTACAAGTGTTTTGCTCAGGTTGCGGACTCTGCCAAGGACAAGACAGAGGTGTTGCAGCCTGGTGTGGTCATGGTTGTTTTTGAGGGCCTTCAGCAGGCTCATGGCACCAAGTTGAAGACTGCACTGGGCAAGCTGGGCGGTAGCTTGGGGCAGCAGAGGCTCCTGACTGTTGGGTACCAGCAGCATCATGTTGAGACTTTGAAGTCAGAGCGCTTGAAAAGTGCCTCGACGGTGGATGTCCTTGAGCCTGTCCACATCTTGACTGGGGGCTCTCTCAAAGTCCCCACGTTGCCGCGGAAGCACTTTGCTGGCACGAACAAAGGCAATTTGATGGCCGAGGTGCCACTCCGGATCCTCAGCTAGATTTCACATCCACAAGGCTCCGATTTTGGTGCAGCTCGCACACCCCCATACTCATCCACAAGGCTCCGTTTTTTGGTGCAGCTCGCACACCCCCATATCATAGGACTCTCCGTTTTTGTTGCTTTTGGTCAGGTTTGGGCT